AAAGTAGCTTCTTTTGGAGCTCACAGACAACCAAATATCACCAGGATAGGTAACTGATCACGATCCACAACACAGGTCCGTGTCATTTTAAATATTATATATCACACGTAAACAAGAACTTACAGAACCTGGTGTATTTCCGTCAAGAATACTGCGCACAAAAACCTAAAATTAATGAGATAGTTGAAGAATTATACACCTTGAATATATTGTGTTTCTATCACTTGTGCATCAGCAGCCTCGCATAATTGTTTTACGTACATACGTCACTCTCAATCTGCATAAACTGTTCCGTAGATGAAAGTTAAGAAATATTTAGAATAAAATTAAAGAATTACTAAACAAGCCTATATAGATGATGTATTTATGAGGTCGTGAACATTGTAATTACACTCCCATATCAATACCTGTTTTTACGTAGGAGCTTCATGAGAAGTTTTAAAAGTTACAAGCATATTTTGTGTTTTTCATAACCTCTAAGGCAAAACTGTACTCTTACTCTGTTGTACTTAGGCATTTTCTCGTGAATAAACACCGGATAAGCATTAAAATGCTATATTCTAACAATGAGACACTTTTTATACGTACGTGCTTGACTCCCGAAGGCCAAAGAAGGCTAAACCTTAACGTTAGGTACGGACAAGGTCCGAGGCTACAGCCTTGTGTAATGTAACTATTGTCATAGGAATAGAAATTTTTCTTTTCAGTACGTGGCGAAAACCAAGTCACTCAGTTATGAATCGTTAAAGAGGTTACATTATATAATATTAGTCATAAATTATTAATCCTAAGTGTTGGCTGTCGATCAGACAATCAACACTTTGAGAAGGGCTCAAAATAATCACTATCTGAAATATTGGAAATAGATAAAGTAAATGTGGACAGGGTAATATTAAATGTATTTTCTCATAAAGCTTCGTGAAAATTTACGTTTTTGATGTAGTGGTAATAATTTTTCAGTTTATTTTTATATAGCCATGAGTCCGCATAATAGCACAAGTAGGTAGAATATCATAATACCTTTGTATGTTTTATTATGTAGCACATTACACTATTTCATAAACTGGTGAATAAATTCCGTTTCATTTTTGGCATCAACCAAATGCAAATCTCATTATGTATACCACCAAACCTAGTTCGGCGCCATGAACAGAATAACCACCCATTTAGTCTCAGCCGTTACTGTTCAAAAATTGGTTTCGCCCTCAGGCAACACCATACCTGTTCGCCATAGCTTGAGGGGAGTTTGAAGATCAAGGCCAACATTAGCTGAGTTGGAATAACATTAGAAGTAAAAACTCAAAAAAATTACCCTGTTAACACGCTCACTATTCTAACTAGACTATTCTAAACAACGGGGGGGGGGGGACTTATCCACAATAGCATCTTTTGAGATTCACGATAAGTCTAAGTACAAGTGGTTAGTAATTCTAAATATCTGTACTTGTTCCTGCTTCAGACAGAGCCAAAAACAAAGGAGAAAACAGAGTTAGCGAATTAAGTAAATTAGATTAAGTAAATTAGAAACAATCACATTTTCTAACGAAAATAACTTATTTTTCCCAGTTTCACAAGTACTGATGCTTTAGTTAAAAAAAAACCCACAGACGTCAAATAAATATGATTCACGATATACATTGTTGTCTCTTGTAGATGCTGTTGCAGGCTGTTTAACTAAAACATGCCCCCCAGTGGCACAGCAGTATGTCTGCGACTTACAACGCTAGAATCCGGATTTCGATACCCGTGGCGGGCAGAGCACAACAAGCCCCTTGGG